ATGGCTTTGTGATGTCCCGACTCCTTTCTAAGGCTGTCAGAGCGTTGGGCCAACAACAATAAATAGGCAGTAATAAAGTTGAACCGATGATACAAGTGGAAAACTAAGCACCATAACGTGTACTGAGAGTCTGCTATCAAGCCTGAATTTTGCAGAAGCTCTGAGCACAGGTGTTTGGGGTTTTTTTTTCAGAAAAATAAGACTGTGTTCTTTCTTTGTAACAACTATGCTTTTAATAATAGAGGAGTTGTTTGGAGTATGGCCATTGCTTTTCAAGATAAGGTTTTTAAAAAAAAGTGTATGGATGTATATACATATGTGTGTGTATTTAAAAAAAAGTATATAAGCATACACACACAACATACAGTGTTACTGTTTGTAAAAAAGAGTTGTGTAAGTGGATTTTGAGCAGCTGTTGACTTAATTAAAATGTATTTTGGTTTTGGTTTGGGTTTATGTATCTTTGCAGCAGCCTGTATCCTGAAGACAGTATACTCCTTGGAACCTGCTTTTTCAGACCCAGGTACCAGAGGTGAAATCATTGTGATTAGCAAATAGAAGCATGTTCTTCTGAGAAGCAGAGCAAGCAAGGTTATTCCTGGAGGAATCATCATCTGGTGGTTCGTGTACTGTAGGAAACAGGTCAGTGCTCAGCTGTGTTACAGAGAAAAAAAGTTAAAAAATACATAGAATTGACCTAGGATCCTAGTAAGTGTTCTGTTATTGAGACAACAGATAAATGCTGAAAACCATCATGCAGTGTAGGACATGGGATGGCAAGTAGATCAAAACTTCCTTGGCACAGGGAAATGTTATGAATATTTTTCTGTTTTGAGATGTGGACCATTCAGCCACTTGTGTTCTCGCCACAAAAATGTAAGCACTGCACTTTCTTGGTAAACAGCATTTACAACTTGAGCTGTTCCGATAATACCACCTAGCTGATTTATTGGAAATCTGTTCAGGAGCAGAAGGACAGGAGGATGTTGTTCACATCTTGCACACTGTTTACCTCCTTTCAGGCATGCTTCATTTTGTAGTTCCTGTTCACTGCCTAGATTTATAAATGGCTGTGTTTAAGTAGGTAACAGAATTGTTTATGATGCAGTAATGACTGTAACAAAAAGTCTCTTTCAAGCTGATCATACCATAGTAGGACATATAAATAAATGTAGAACTACATTTATTTATGGTCTGACTAAAGTGTCTGAAAGTTACCAAACTTTTTTCCAGTTTATTCTGTGGCATCGGAAAGCAATTAATTTATCTTCTTCCAGAGGCAGCAAGCAGGCAGACACCTTATTTACTCATCCCACCTGTACTGTGCTGGATCCTGCTACCAGCTGAGGGCTGGCTCCAGGAATTACATGTGGTTACAGAATCATGCATTGATGTGGGATTTGCCTCTTTTAGCAGCGCTGTTGTGCACATGTATCTTTATACTTTTGCATTATCAGGTTGTTATATATTTCCTCAGAGAAAAAAAGGTCTCTTAGTGGCCTTATCACATTCCTGGTCACTGTGAACATATCATAGAGCTTAAAACAGTTTGATCCAAAATAGTAATTCTCTGTGTTTTGATTGCTTTGTCAGATATAGAGAGGTTTGCAGCCACAGCTGTGGATTTAGATCAGAACAGAAAGGACTTTTGTAGTTCTGCCTGTCCAGACTTGCTTCTAGAATAAAATGACATGGCCATCTGTGTTCTTCTGCGCATCTCACACATTAAAAGCTTGCCTACCTAATTCAGTCACAAGCCTGTCTCATTTTAGTGACAGTAGACTGCATGATTCTGGATAAGTGTTAGAAATATTAGGATGCAGTTTTCCCATATAAAATTACATTGATACCTAAAGTGCCATTTTTTGGAAGTTTATCTTTTGACCTAGCTTTGGCATTGTATAGCTTGGGTAGGTGACGTACTGTGAGGTGTTACTGTAGCACAAAAGCATTTATCAGCCATGCGCGTCATCCAGATGCATAAGACGTCTGGATTTTATTTTACAAGATGTGCCTTTTCTTCAAAGTTCAAATAGCTTTGTGTCTAGATTTCCTACTCTTAAATGACTTTTGGAGAAGTAGACTATCTCAAACACAGATACCTGAGCGTCCATGTCAGAAAAAGCAGTGTAAGTCTGGCTTTGACCTACAGAGACACCAGCATTCCGGGGGTTGTCCAAGTTTTACCTCAAACATCAGAATTATGTGATGTAAGAACAGTCTTGAGGGCTGTTCTGCCACTCAAGAGGCATGCGTCTAACTTCTCAGAGAATTATTCCTTCCTGGCCTCTACACTTATTTTCTGTTCCTGTACATAACTAATGGTTTTGCAAGCAAGGGCACACGAAGCATGTGGGTGGAATGAATTTATTGCACTTCTCCAGAATGGTGGTGAAGTAACATTTATGTCAATAATCTTTATTTTACCTTTTTTTTTCAGTAGCAACTCCAGCAAGAAAACAGAGTTGGTCAGGGTAGGCAGAGAACAAGTGGTACAGTTCTCAGCAAAATATAGATAAAATCAAAGCCACTGGGCCAAACCAAAGTATTTCTACCTCAGCATACCACTGTATGGGTTACAGGGTTTTTGAAATACTACCTGCATTCTTGATGGGTTATTTAATCTTTATTAATTAGAGTATGAATCCGAACAGTGTTTTAGAAAGACTTGAGCTCAAGAGGCATGAAAAAACATTGTCTTTCCTGACGTGTCCTGGCTGTGTGCTATGGACAGTGGGCAGAGGAAGAACGCTGTGTTGCTGTGTCTCATCAGAGAATCTTTTCCTCCCCAGCTTCTGAAATCTGAAGACTGAATCTGCTTCCGTTGCTGCAGCAGTCACACCTCCTCCAATGAAACCAGCCTTCATAAGGCTCGATGTGAAGAACTCCACAAAATTTGGTAAACAGAACTGTTATGTTGTCTTGTTTGCTTACAGCTTGTGTTTGAGTTCTTAAGAATTTGAGTGAAAGCTGGAGACTACTCTCCACATCCTCTGAAAAGTATGTCTGAGTGTGGCTTCTGGAATCTGAAAGCTGTATTTATTCACTGAGTAATAACATTACTAGTGCCAATAGCAATAGGAAGTCCACAGTAAGAGTTCTGAAATTATATAAAAATAGTTGGGTTTCGGCAATAAATAACATCACTTGCACTTTTAAAAAAACAAAGTTCTGATTCAATTTGTTTTGGAATGCTAACCGAGGCAGTATGCTTATTTCAGCTATGTCTGTATGTAATCAGTGTAGTCCGTGCTGTGTGTGTACCCTTCAGAGAAAACCTGCCCTTGCCTGTCGACGAGGGAGCACCTTCAGCCGCTGTGCTCAAGAGGAGCACACGATCAGGAACAATGTAGTAACATACTGGAGTAACCTCACCCAGTTACAGTCCCTGGTACTCATACACATCTAGGCTTTTCAAAGGTTTAAACAATGTTCTGTTTAATCATTAGCAGCAGTCAAAGGAACAGGTTAAGCAAAGGCCAAAAGAAATAAACAAATTCACAAATTGGATCCATTATCTACTCTACCATGGCTCCCTGATTCAGGTAACCCAAAGGGTGTGCTATCAAAGTGTTTTTCAGGTGTTTGGACATCAGCTCCTTACATAATTGTTACAAAACTTAAGTATTCAAGCCATTCGCCTTTATATTCTCAACACAGAGCTGTGAACTACTTTTTATTTTCCTTCCCCATCTACTTACCATCTTTAGCATCTAGATATTTGCTGGATTAAAAAATAATTTTATAGGGGAGAGAAGCGGGGAGTCTTGGTAGCAAAGTCCAACAGGACTGACATGTTAAAGCACTGTTGAGCCAATGCACTTGTTGAATTGTACGTTTTACTTAAAAATTACACAGAGAAATATACAAAAGTGATGCAGTACATCAGTTTCATTTGTGTAATGGACGTTTATGGATTTGGATTTCCAGTCACAGACCATACACACATCTACTGAGACCACATTTTCTCCTTACATGATAATCCTCTGCCTTTCCCTTTACAGGTGTTGAGAACTGGTTTAATTCCAACCTTCGGTTTAAAAATACACCTGTATGCCTTTATGAGAGGACATTAAAAGGTAAACTAAGTTGAAAATAAAGCTCCTTACATTGAGTCAAAGGTTTACAAAGTAACACTTTCAGAATGTAGGTTAATCAGCAGTTTTAGGGAAGTTTTGTGTCACACTTGAACCTTGCACGGCCAAGTGCTGTAGTGCACGGGGACGTTCAGAACAGTTGCTGAACTACCTCCAGGGAGCAAACATGAAAATAAGATTTCCTGGTTGCTGTGAATAAAGGTACATAAGTATGTTCATTCCCCAATCTTCACTTGGTTAAAGCTGATGAGACAAGTACTGATTTCGTGTATGACATCTGAAAAAGTATGTTATTTTTATTATTTCAAAAAGTTTAATTTTGAAGAGTTGTCATGAAGACAAACGATGCAGTGATTTCCTCTCCCTCCACCCTCCCAGCATTTCCAGGGCTAGCAGAATTCCCTCCTAACCAGCTAACTATATACACCTCCTCAATCTGAGTGAAGGGCAAAAGAAGTCAAGTTAAAGATTTCAATTTCCAAGGCTGCTCGCTTGAACTGTTTTAAAAAGAACTCAGGAGCACGGGCCTTCAGAGGTGCAGACTTTGCTAGGTTTGAGTGCTGTATTCAGAACAGCACCAGCTTCTTTTCTAATATTTTGAAAATGTAATTGAATTAGTGAGTCCTCACTGCAAAACACAATTATTTTTGTTGAAAACGAGGATGAAATTCTAGTGGAACAAAAGGTGTACATGCATTTATCTGTAGTAGTGATTGAAGAAAAAACTCCAAACAATGCACCCTAACCTCAGTGTTAAAGCTCCCAACTACAGGACGTTTTTGCTCTAACAGCAGCAATTAACTCTTTATTTTTTTTTTTTTAAACTTTCATCTACATTCCTGCACCGTGAAAATGAACCTTCTCAAGGAAAAAAAGAGAGAGAGAATGGCTAGTTTCAGGTAGTGCAGTAAGACTCAGTATAGCTCCTTTAATTTCTTTACACAGTAAACAGACTTTTATTTATACCAACACCCTGGTCTTTACTTTCTTATTTACATGAAACACTTTTACATATATACATGTTAGCAAAATACAGGGCTTCTCCCGGAACCAAGTGCATTGCAGCTATATCTTTGATATACAACTAATGATTCAAAAAAAAAAAGCCCACCTCGCTTGCTTTCTCATGGACAATGGTTCCATTTAACTACATACCAAATCATATTTATCTCCTTCCCATGTAGTACTTTCTGTAGTTATGAAATACCATCAGCTCCAGACTGATACTTGCAGTTCACTCTGGCAGTAAGGAAGATGTTTCAAGAGTCCAGCTCTAATTGTTCCTGATTTTCACTGAGTCTTAACATAAGCTGTTGTTCATAGTAAAGGCTCTTTGCATAGTTTATTTCTTGAGATAGCTTTACTGCAAGAACTTCCGATTTCACTTTCACCTGCAAAAAGAAACAGGATTTTTCTTAATGTGGTACTGCTATCACTTTTATTACTTCACTAACTGAAGGGATTACATTTGAAGTCTCCTGTAAGGAACAGGAAAGTTTCAGTGGAGATTCCTTCTCAGTGCTGTGGCTGAAGTAAGGAAGAAGTGAGAGACAGGTAAATAGAGAGAGGTATTTTAGGATGAGAGCAGAAACATCTTGCAATATTTTAAGTTACTTCCTTTGCTTCCCCTCCTACCTTTTATCTGGCTTGTCTGTTTGGTATGTAAACTGACTTGGGTCAGGGGTGAGCTTGTAACCTTGTCTGTAAAACAGACCCCTGAGCAACTACTGTAATGGAGCCAAGAACTGAGAAGGGAGAGTTCTGATTAACCTTTACATGCATGACAGTAAACATTGTTTCCTATCTTAGATACTTTGCAGTAAAAAAATATATGTATGGGAGGAGAAGACTAGAGCAAACAGACAGCAGAGTACTTCAGTGTCATGTATATATTGTAAAGTTAAAAGCCCTTCTCAGGTAAATACACACTTCTTATTACAACTTTTCTGCCTGCAGAAATATTTTAGATTTTGCCTTCAGCTTTTCTCAGGAGTTTAGGGAGCAAGTTCTGCTCTCACCTAAACCTTTTCAGCAGCAGCAGTTTTCACTGCTGACAGAACAAAGTTTCATTGTTACGTGGCACAGGAAACCAAACGCTAATGACTACAAACACCTTCAGCACCAGCAGCCCAAAAGGGGAAAAGAAACCCCCGAGTGAAGGAAACAGTAGGTGCTAGATCCTTACCATTGGCTTCTGTTGCGAGGGGCCTGGCATTGCCACGCCACTGCTTGTATTGACAGCTTTCCTGGTCAGCTGTATGTACACGTTCCCGTGGTCTTTGGAAACCAGGCAGTGGTAGAGATCATCATACTTGACTTCTAGGAACATGGCCTCGTGGACCGTGTAATCGCCATTTTTCAGGAAATAAACGGCTTTGGATGAAATGAGAACACAACAGCCGCCTATGTTTTCTACTGCTATGAAGCTGCAAAAAAGAAAAAAAGAAAAATTACTCACTTGAAGCTAAAAATAGTAAACTAACAAATGTCTTCACCTGTTATGTTCTGAGAGACCTTTAGAAGTCTTTCAGGAAAATTAATAGCGTAACATGTACGATTCATCTGCATTTAATTTAAACTGTCCTAAAAATGAAGCTGATGAAGTACCCTTTCACCCAGTTAAAAAAGATCATGTTGTAAATCAAATACTAGCACTAAATGCCTGGCTTCTAGCTGTGGACACTGAAGGGGCACATAAAAATATCCTTTAACAAGGCTTAAGAAGAGTAAGTTCCTTGCATTGAAACATTGCAAGACCTGATACTGAAGTTAAATGTAAGTTCAGTTCCACTGCTGACACACAAAATGTTTGCAGACATTTATGACAAGAGCATTATCCTTCTACACGTTGTAAACCTACTGTGCTTGCTTTTACCACACACCTCCCTCGCCTTTAAAAACAAAAAACAAGTTTAACCTGCTGCCTGGATCAGTAGCTAGAAAAGAGAAATTAGCTGTTTAACACTGGGGTGAAAGGTTAAGCAGCAAGCAGGTTTCCCCAGAGAGATTAGTCCGAGTGATGAATAGTGGAGGTAGAAAAGAGTGAATTAAGAATATTGAGAATTATGATGGCTGAAAAGGTTGATGTGTAAAAACCAGCAGTAAGGAATGCAAAAGTGAAATAGATATTTCACACATGAACACTTCTCCCCCACTTCTAAATTTACTACTGAAATGAACCAACTAATGAGGTTCATTGCTGAAAAATTCAAAAAATGAAATATGAATACAGAACTCGGAGAGAGTGCTAAACAGAACAATAATATTCTGTCAACAACCCATAACAGTAGAAGCATATCTGTAAAGCTAAGATTCTCATGATGTCAGGTAGGTTAAAAATTGTTATTTTCTGAACTGGTGCTTGTACAGATCTGTCTGCTGTTGTCCTAATACATTCTGAAAAATACTCCACTGTCTTTGAAATCAATGAAGATTGTCAGTACGAAGGTTTTGGTAGATCAGAAAAGCTTAGCATCACCCTAACTACTGTCAGCTCTACTGTAATTTAAATAACACTTTGCACAAAGTAACTCTGAGCTATATCCAAGTAAACCCAAAGCTATAAATGGGAATTTTAATAGCCAAAACTATTTCAAGAGGTCAGATGGCTGTTTCTTTTTGTGGTATAAAAGAATAATTCCAGTAATTTTCTATTAACAGTCTTCTGAAACATGGTATTCTGCGCTGAACTTGTCTTTTCCCTGCCCTGTGCCTCCCAGCCGTGTCAGCTGGGACATGCCCTTGGTTCCACAAACTTGAGGAAGGCGTAGGCACTTACTCAGGTTAACAACTTACGTTTTCCTTGGAAGTGCTGAGAAGAGCACCGCCATCCTATTAAAAGTAATGTACTTTGCCCAGCTTTAACCTTGGATAAAACTACAGGATACGATAATTGAATTGTGTTCCAAACAAACAAAAAAATGTGTCTTTAAAAAAGCCGAGGTAAAGACAATATGAACACAGTTACTGAAACTAGCAATTGCCCTCAGTTTTCCATCAGAGTTCAGACACTTCGGGGTAAGGTTTTGTCTTTGAAATAAATTAATTAGGATGGAGAAGGATATTTTTTATGAAGTGTCATAGAAAACTTAATTTTAAAACAACACAGCAGTATAGCCTGCAGAATAATAATCTTGTTCTTTAGGACAGGCACATGAAAGCAAGTACCATATTTCACAGAGACCCTAGTTTTGAGTCAGGTCAGACTCCACTAGAAGTGGAACCGGAGGAAACTTCCTGGCACATTGGGTTTCATGGCTTTTTTTCCAGAGGGGAGAGAAGATGAAAGTTCATTATCAGACACACCTGATACTGTATCGCTGTCCTTTGCGACTGTCACAGCGAAGTTCTGAAACCTGAAAAGGTTTTCACACCCACAAAAGCAGAACAGCTGTTGCCCTGGTGTGTGGTATGACAGCCCTCTGTACGGGACATCCATGGAGAGAAGTGATGCACTAAAAGCTGCCATAAAGTTCAGTGGGAGCAACTGGGTCATCAGACTACAGGTTTATATTTTCTCCGTAAGACCAACAGATTATATCTCATTTTCCATACAAGATTCTTACTGGTGTCATGTATGCATGTTGAGGAGTGGAAGCAGAGGACGGTGATTTAATGGTGAAGCACAGAAACGTTAGCTAATTTGTAGTTGAGGCTCTAAATTTCTGTTCTAAGTTTGAGTCATGCATCATTACCCATTTTCTCTTGCCAGCTGTTACTTCTCTGTGTCTAGTTCTCAAAATGGGTATTTAACCTTTTAAGATACTACTTCAAGATACAATTTTTTTTTTTAAACCCATACTCCTACACTATTAAAAAGATCTCAAATTAATAAAATGAAAAATTAAACTAAACGTGATCCAGTAGAACAAAGTAGAAGCAACCAGATCTCTGGAGAATTTGTGGGTTTTTTAACAACATCAGGAAGTAATTACACAATATTTTCCAGAAGTGAAACAGTGAGCCTAACTGGAAAAAAATGTGGAAACATTTAGTTAGAACAGTAGAGCAAGGTATTAAACCCCCTTTTATGGATTTAACTCTGAAGGAAAATATGCAAATAATCAGGTCTTTAAATGTGTTTCTGATTATGATACTAGGATAAAAGTCAGAGGCATGATTTTGTACTTATTTTCCATGACAGGAAACACTGTTTTCTTGTTGAGTGATGTTCCTAGTGGTGAACATCACAGTGAATGAGCAGTGTGACTCGATGACAAAAGCCCACTGATCTACTTATGGGGTAACACCTGCAAAAAAGCTGACAAATTGCTCTTTTTTGATTCTCCCTACTTAAGAGCCAGACTGTATATCCATATTTCACCCTTAAATGAGGTGAAAATAGGATGACAGAGGGAAGATCACAGAGCCTCAAGCAAGTGGCAGATGATAAACTTCCTCAAAGGCAGCTGAAGGTGGAATCTAGTATGGCCCATGGCTCTCAGGGCCTGACCATTGACAGTGGTGAAATTCAGATACTCTGCTGAAGGTACATCCCTCTACCAGCTTCACCAGCACCAGTTCCAACTACTTTGCCTTAGGTACATCCCTCTACCAGCTTCACCAGCACCAGTTCCAACTACTTTGCCTTGGCAGAGACTCTGAGGGATAATAGCTGCAAAACACAGTATCTTACACTCTCGACTGAAAACAGCTGTTCAGGTAGCTGTGGCAGGGGTCAGGTTAAGTAATGAATTATGCCTTAAGAACCCAGTTCAACAGATGGACATCTCCTGTAGAAACAGGTGTAGATACCTTCCCATGCATTCACTCTGCATGCAGTTGTTTTCCACACTCTCAAACCTGACCACTGATAACATTTATACATTTTCACTTGCTTTCATGCACCCATATCCAGGGCATTCAAATGCAGATGCGCCTTTAGTGTATTACCCATTCAAATTATTCAGTAGTGATTTTTCTGGGGAAAAAAAAAATAAAATTGTGCAGGTTATTCTGGTCATTAACTGTTAACAGCTGTAGCTTAGGAATAATGCGTACCACAGGCATCCAAGCTAGCCTCTCACAGAACCCACTCTGTGCAGGTTAGTGCTGGTTCACGTACTGCTCTCACGGAATCACTACTCACTCTCCCAGGCTTTGGGCTGGGAGAAATAGAAGATAAAGGACAGATCTGCCTGTAGGAGTGTTAGAGGATGAAGAGTACAGGGTTAAAGCATGTACTTGTTTTAGCAATGCGGGTGGACGGTTGGACATGTATTAATGCATGTTAAATGACTAATGATTACCTAGAAACTTCCTGAGGTGTCATCTTTTGTAATGACAGAAGGGAACCAGGGCCATTACTAGGAGCAGAAGTCGACAAACCAAGGCTTCGGTTGTGCCCCAGCCCGTATGTGACGTGCCATCAGTGGCAGAGAGCAACGAGTGAGCCACAGCAGCCCCGTGGCACCTGCAGAGGCACCTGGACAGGCTGCTGTGGAAGCCATCAGGTGCTTGTACTGTCCTGCTAACAGGTACCAAGAGAAAACACATGAAATGCATGTGTGTGTGTGCCTGTATAAACCAGTTTCAGCCCCTCTTCCCTAGAGACACAAGGTACAACAGCAGCAAACAGAACTACTTAACATCACGGTGTAAGTCAGTACTTACAACTCATCTTGGATGTTGTCAGTCAGTTTGAAGAGCTGTTCCTGTCCTTCTGCTTGACTTTCTAAATAGCAGGGCAAGAGCCCTTGAGGTCCTCGACAGCAGCGTGGCTTTCTCACTCTCTCTGCTTGTGTCCTACACACAAAACAGACGCAGAGAAATGACTTAGTGCACCAGCAGTGCTCTTCCTTCCACTTAAACCCGTCAACGCATAAAGTTTTATTTATTTTAAAATATGAAGCGTGACAAAGCCTCTAAAAATACAAGATCTTCACAGACACAGCATATAGATTCTGTAATACTTGATCTGGAAGCCATGGTGTCTACTCATGTTGTTTTACATTTCCAAGAAACGTCTCCCAGTTCGCTTCTACAATTAAGGGGCAGCATGCTAAATTAATAGGAAGAAGCAACCTAAATGGGATGTACTGTCTGTAGATTTTGGGATCTGTTTATCAGCAGAATTTTACTGATTTGACTCTTTTCTTCTCACTTCTCTGCAGAAAATAAGAGTGCATCAACCTAGATAGAGCTCACACTGATGGACAGTGTCGGTATTTGGAAAATTGAAGGGTTATGAAAATATGCACATGCAGTTAAGACAAAAGAAAAACCCACAGTCTGTAGTATTTAGTTTAGCATACCTTACCTTTCTTGAGCATCTATTAAATAATGACAATAATAAAAGGCAAACGTGGCTTAACAGACATCAGAAGTTGATACTGCCCAGAGTGCTACAGAACTGCAGGCTAGGTTCCTCCCTAGCAGTATTTTGTTAAAAAATAATATTCTGAATTCCTTTAAGCTTTTGGAACGCCCTACCCCTGAAGAACTGTGTTCCAGGCTGCCTAGCCCTATTTTATTCTCTGTCCTTTCCCAACAGCATCACTCTGAGTCTGCTGCATGCTTTTTCATCTCTTTCAGGCTACTGCTGTTTCTAATTTTCCAAGCCAAACGCATCATTTTTGACTAGTGCTCTCTACTTCCCATCTTGATGCTCTGTAAAGATCCTGTACAATAAACCGCTTCTATCCTTTTTGATCAAAAGACCAGGAAAAAATCCATGTAACAACACGTTTTCTTTTTAAGCTGCTTGGCAATAGCACACAAGAGTACTTGCCTTCTAAGCTTCGCTTTCTGCAGATGTTTTCTCTGGAGCCTTGTTTCTTTCTTACCTTTTACTTTCAGCAGTCCTGTCCCAGACTCGAAACCCATGCACCTTTTTAAAATTTGTTTTGAGTCTTTGACACCCTTACCTTTTAATGGTGTCAGACTTTTTTTTTTGCCCCTTCCCTTCTTGGCTGCAGTAAATGTTACTGGAACAGAATCTCTTGCATGTCCTTCATTACTTAATTATAATTTTTGCTGCTCCCCCATTTGGCGACTGGTCTCTGGGTATGTTTCGGGTATCCTTGCTCTGCCTGGTATCAACAATGTATTTTGCAAACAAGGTGTGGAAGTGAAAGATACTGGCTTTCCAGCACAGTTGAGAAAAACATCAGCCAGTTTATATTTTTAATACATTATGACTATCTGGCAAGTTCTGATTTTGTTAATGAGATTATTGCATCCCTGACCTGTGTAACAAATTACAGTGGCTCAGAAGTAGTGCTTACACTGATCCTCTTTGAGAGAAACTTCAGGGGAGAAAAAAAGCTCTTGACTTCACTTCAGCTGAATTATGGTTATGTTAAGATGGAAAGTCAGTTTACTGTCAGCAGGGAGGGTGAAATGAAGAGTGGAAATTCTCCAACTGAAAGAATGCGAAACAGAGCAAGGGCTTAAGAAACCATAACAAATGTTGTCATAAACAGTGCCAGTAAAATGTTATCAGTCAAATTTTCAGTTTTACCTCTGCTGACAGATGTTCTCACTGCTTTACCTGTCCTGCTGCACTGCTTTTGCTTTTGGTTAGACATTCATTAATTAGTGTTATGCATCCAAGCTAAAAAACACCAGCATGAAAATTGCAGTTTGCTAGATAAAGGTACTTAGTTTTCCTCATTTGCAAATAAGTGCAATGTCTTGAACTGTATTCTTCCATTAGTAACATTTCTCCGAATCAGGATAACCTAAACACTATGCAAATAGATTACTTCCACAACCTATGATGACTTAAAATTATTCCACTGAGTAACAGCTGCATGCAGTGGTTAGAACTTCACTGCTGAGTACTAGAACTCTGGAGAAGTCACCTCTCCTGCCCCTTAGGGTTGTTTTTTTTTAGATATAAATAGGATTGATCTGTACCATGTACAGTTACATGACAGACTTGGTACCTTTCTGAACCCACACCAGAGGTGAACAAGCACCTGCTTTTACCTTTTAGATTCTTACAAAGTAGTAAATAAAAGTAAGTGTTTGCCTTCATGACATGTAAAATTTTGAGGTAAAGTTCCATGGAAATTCAAAGGTTCCAACCAATGTAATTCACATCTTGCTGCTTGTCCTACTTCCTAACCTCCAAAAGCAGTAAAATGGCAAATTTTCACTTATCCAAGAAGCCCTCATCAGCTGTTAAATCTCTCTACAGCACCTGTGGCTTCTGTTGATGAGTTTAAAGGTAAATGTCTGAAGCATAATATACAGTTTTTAATTAACTATTGGCCCATCAGTAACTTTTTACTTGGACACTTTCCTGTTACCCATCCAGGAAAGTTAGATAACCATCTGTACGGGAGCAAGCAACAACACTGCGTAACGGTTTTTACATTAACCACCTTTCAGATAAATGTTCAACTGTGCTGTATGCTGTAGTACTGTGAGAAAGGGGTATCTGGAGCATTGCAAGAAAGACTGCTGCAAAAATGAGGAAAGAATAGGGCCTTTTAATGAAACCTATTCCATAGAAACCAGAAGCCAACACTGGTGTCTAATGTCTGGCTTAGAAACAGGTCAGAGAGCAATTCACACTACAGAAGTACTGGGTACCACAATGAATTTCTGGAAGGCTGGGCAGTTTCCAAGTGTTGCGTTTGGTTGTGGTTGTTTTCAGGTTTTGTTTTTAAATGGAAAAGTACTTAAGAGTACAGTGCTTGCTGTCCCCACTGCTCCTCCGTGCTAAAACGTTCATTGTGGTGACGAAAGATAATTCTCATCTTGGTGATAAGAAGGTCAGCTGCTTTTCAACTAAATGCCACTAGAGCTAGCGTAAATTGCATTGATAGTCCATCGGCCCCTTGGCAAACTGGTCTGTTTGGTCTGGACAGCTAAAAACATTCCACATGACTTGAATTTTTTAATCAAAAAATTTTTTCTACTGTCTCAAGTTACGTTCTGTAAATAATAACCACCGCTGATGAAATACAAAAAGCTGAAGATTTGTAAAGCAGAATGAACGGTGGTGTGCCCACATCTGTGTTACATTAAACATGCACTCAACAGATCTGCCGATTCTTTTTTAATAAGCACACAAAGGCAATACAAGACAGAAATGCCCTCACGTCTACTAGTCACAGCGGGGAAGAGTGCTGCTGAATGAAGACACAAAGAGATTGGAAATGGTGTCAGAAGGTTGAGGCACACACTCCAGTTCTTCACTGCTCAGACAAAGCTGAACACTGGAGAATCTCATTTCAGATGACTGTACGCACACTAAAAACAGTTAACACTGTTAATTGGTTGGCTTTTGCTTAGCAGTTCACAGAATTCTGGTGATTCAGTTGACCAGTTCTGAGCCAGAAGTTTGGTAATCAAACGTGTCACTGACCCACTGACGTAAGGAAGTTGTTCAGGTATTACTGGTGATGATTATTTGCCGACTTAGATTGAAAAAACTCTACAAGAGACACGGCATGTTTTACAGAATTACTTATCCCTGTTCCTTCACTGTACGTTCTCCCCCGCCACGTTTACACTGTCAGGTAGGTAGATGTGATTCTTGCTGAGGTGCATAAATACACAGTGGTTTTGAGAACAGTAACTTACTTCTCTTTGAGTGTCTTTTGGACCTAAAAAATTTCCTTCAACTGTACCTAGATTGCTTTGACAAAAACACTAAAAAAGTAAAAATCAGAAGGTATGAAACTTTGTATATCAACAGATGATAGTCTGGAAAAACAAAACATTGCACTTCTAAAATTACATACAAATTTACATCTTTCAGTTTCCTCAGTATCACACCCAGAATTATGATAAGAATAAAACAACTTTAGGAAATTACCAGCCTCTTCTGAGAAAAAAAAAAGCAACAAGGAAGAACCCTATGACGGACACAGCAAGCACCACAATTTTTCATTTAAAACGTCCATCTGTGGCATTTCTAATCTGTCCTCCTGGTAAGAGAGCAGCACTGGCAGCTGCAGATCTGTTCGAAAAGCCCAACTTGAGCGTGTGTACAGATTGCGATCCATAACTGGAAGAGCACAAGGACACCCGAGATCCTGCACAAACAAGAGTTGTAAGTGCAAAGAGATGCAATTCTGCATCTGAAACTGGAAGAGGCTCTTCAGAGAGACATCACCTGCTGCACTGCATGTCAGCAAACCCCCAGGTCCATTCCAGCTGACAAACACTGGTGTGCACATCAGCCCTGTCAGCCCTCCACAGAGACCTCGCTGGCCACAGGGCTCTCCCCCACACTCTCTAGTAATGATTTTCTTCAGCTAGACCCAGTTCTTGCTGCCTTCCAGCAACTGTCATCAACGTGTCGCATTCATAAAGGTGTTCCAGTTTAACAACCTCATCATTCCAACCCGTTTAAAGCATTAACTTACTGGTTCTGGTATAGCTCAAATTCTGTCAGTGTTTCCATTGTAAACTTGTTTTTTCAGGTTTGCATAAAATTTATTGATAAAAGCCTGCTCTGGGCTGTAAACTGGCATACTGACTTTCAGCCTGGGAACAATTTTATCCCCTTGAAATAATTATAAAACTACCTTAGTTCAAACAAAGGAAAATTGGCAGGTAATATAAGCCTATGAAACAATTCAATTGCTGATAGTATTTTGAAGAAATAATATCAAACCTGTTACTTACTTGGCTCTGGAAAAAGTCTGCTTCATAAATACAAGGAGTGCTTTGTTTAAGGAGGCTTTAGTGATTTCAGACATTAAGAAGTGACTTGATCTGGTTAAGTTGAAGGAGGAATGGCCTTACATCTTCTATCCTAAAATACACAACAGCTAAAATAGCTG